TGTTCGACAATTAGAAAAGTGACTTCTTACAATTTCCCTCCAGGTTGCTTAGACACATCCAGTGCTTTCCCCAAGCCTCGTGCTTGTGCAGACAGCATTCAAGAACTCTCAAAACATGTACTCAAATCTTCAGTACTGGCTAGTATGAAGCAACAACTGTTTTACTTTGAAAAAAGAATAGATGTATTTGCTTTTCTGATTTGTCTTTCTTAATGAAATTCGTGATTATAAACATTTATTTGTGGCTCACAGGAGAACTTACAGAATATTTGGAATCAACTAGTATGGATGTATCTATGTAGTTTGTAATCTGGGAAACGTAAAATTACTGGATTTTGAATGTGAGTGAGAAGTTCCACAGTTAATCAGATTCTAGGAAACCTGCTCCAAAACAGTCAAGCACATTAGTTTACTTCCCTCATTTTTAAAATCCCTTTGCAGTGAAAAGATGAATAAATAAAAGTGAGCAGAAAGGGCAGCAGCCAGAAGGGTTTCATAAATGGGCCAGAAATTTGATGACTCTGTAAGTTATAAAGTCAGTGAAATCACATTGATATCAAAATTGAATATATATCCATTCATAGTTATTTAGTACCAGGCACTAGTGATGGGCGTTAGGTGATAGGGACAGTTACATAACTGAAAAAGACACACGTTACCACCTTCATGAGACTTACAGCAGTGACATGGAAGAGGTGTGTAACGCTGTTTCCAGTAGAACTTAGGAAACCCCCCAGGTTCTGAGTCAGTGATAGTGGGGTGCGGGGTGGCTGATGGAGTCAGCGGCTGAAAGAGTGTGCTGAGTGGTCAGCCACAGAACAGGTCTGGCCTCCGTCTTCTGGGCAAAAGACACATTTGTGGTAAGGTGTCTGTGTGTTGAGAGGAGACTCTTGGTTTGAGGATTAATGCCAAAGAGAGAAACAAGATAGTAACCCCGGGTAATTCTGAACTTGAATCAGACACTAAAAGGTACCTGCTCGTTTACCGCACGTCCACGTTTTGTAGTCTGAATATGCTTACCGCCTTGGTAGTTTTGAGGACACCTATCTCCAGTCAGTACTCATCATCACTGTGTTCTTCTTTACAAATGGATTAGCAAGAATCTCCACATATTTGAGGAAAATGTCTGTCATCGAAGAAAGGCACCAAGTTGGGCAATGAAGACTCCTTTGACGTCCTTTGAAGAAATGGTTAATGCAGAAGACAGAAGAATACTTCAGGAGGATGGTACACTAATTTGTAAGTATTTATGAAATAAAAAACTGAGCATATATTAGGGTATAAAGGAAATCTCAATATAAGTTTCAAAAAGTTATAACTCAGAGGTCAAATTCTTTGATCATATGATAGAACTGAAATCCAAGAACAGAAAAGATACCTAAAAAGTTCCTAAAGATGTGGAAATTTTTAAAGATACTTTTCTAAGTGTCTGTGGCTAAAGGAAATTGAAGACAAATTATAGACAGTTACTGATGAACCACAGTGATAGTCTGCGTATCTGGATCTTTGGGTGGAGGACAGGCTGATGCTGAGGGCATTGTATTCATTCTAGGAAATGAGGAAGGTGGGAAATCAGTTGTTTAAATATTCATTTTGGAATTTCTTCAGAAGAGTGTAAGAAATTATTATGGGTAAGACACATTAAATTAAATTAATATATCAATAAGAAATGGTTTAATCTAGTTAAACCAAGAACAAATTTAATTTAAAAGGAAAATAATAAGAAAATAGAAGAAAGTAACTATCTGATTATGAAGCAATGAGAAAATACAATGTTAAAAGTGAGGAGTGTAAACTGACTATAATACAATAAGAAAGAGAAAAAAGTGAAAAGTGGGAACTGTCAAGAGCTAATGATTGTTTTGAAATTACAAGATGATGTATATAATTTTATATTATAAATAAAAATATATTGAAACATATAATTATTTGACTTATAAATTATTAGTAAAGCTGACCCAAGAAAAGACAATAAAGATGAATTTTGAAATATAATTCCTTTGCCCTAGAGGCATGAGACTCAGATGGTTTTAGGGCTGCATTCTCTTTTCCAAGGTCAGAAGTTTTCCTGTTATTTAAAACTTTAGAGAAAGATAGAATAAGCTGCCCTATTCACTCCATGAGATTACTGACACTAAAATATTAGTACAAAAAAAGAAAATGATCAGTTTCACATGATACAGATACAGGAATCCTAAGTAAAATCTGAAAAAACAAGTATAGAAATATGCTAAAAAATATGGTTAAGGAATACAAGAGTGATTTACCATTAGGAAGTATATTAATTTATCATGTTAATTGATTAGAGGACAGGATGATTATTTCAGTGTATGTTAAAAAGGCATGTGATGTGTCTCAATGTTCCACTTCCTAAAAACTCTTAGCTCCAGTGGATACTTTACAACTTAAGAATACCTATTAGTTCTCATTAATATGAGAAACAGGATATCTAGTATCCTGTTTTTATTCAGTAATTTGGAGGTCCTGAAAAATGTGATTAAAGAGAAAAAGAGAGGAGTTTTGTATAAGTTAAAGGAAGGGACAAAATTATAATTAGGCGATAAGATTGTTTACCAGAAAATCAACTGAAAGGATGCCCTGGTACCATGGAAGATAAATGCATAAAAACCAATTACTTTCTTATATTCTAACAATAGGTTTTATTTACAGTTTGTTCAAAATCCGTTCAATCCTGTGTCCTAACAAGAAATAGGCAACATAGCACATGTACACAGATGGGTATGTGTATGTATATGAAATCTGACTGACAGAAATAAAAGCAGAGCGGAGTAAAATCAAGCGAGAGAATACCATCACCCTTTTTGGAAGGACTTGGTGTTACAACATTATCAGTTTGCACCCAGATTTATTAATTCAGTGCAACTCCAATCAATACTCGAAACATTGTTAGGAAAATCAAGAAGTTTATTTTAAACTTGGGCATAAGAAGAAGGGAATGAGATTCTTCTCTTACACCTTAAATGTGTTCCAAATGCATAAAGAACTGGAAACAAGAGTATTAGGTGAAGTCAGTAAAGTGCCTTTAAAGTCCTGGTTTGAGATGAGACAGTTTCTAATCAAAGCACATTGCAGAAAACACTAAAGATTCAAAGCTGAGGTTTCTTCTGTTTCAAACCAAATAGTAAAGGCACTGTTTATTAAAAAAAGATGTGGTTTTCATGAACTCTACAAATTACTGTATCACTTAATTAAAAGACAAAGACATTAAAATAACTGTTTAAAATATGTCACTGAAATATGTATATCATCCATATTCTATAATTGCTAATGGAGAAATATGAAAAGTCATGAGTGGTCAATATACTAAAGAAATAAAAATAGTCAATAAAAATAAAAATGTTTTCCAAAATTTTGCTCACTTCTAATCTGAAATACAAATTGAAGCATGATGCTATGTTCTGCCCATCAGATTTTGTACAAATTAAAAAGATTTTTATTTACGTTCACTGTTGCAAAGGGTGTGGAAAAAAGGACACTTATATTCATTGGTGGATGTATAAATTCTTGGTAACAACCATTCAGAGGAAAATTTATTAGCGTTAAACAATTCAGGTCTCACAGTGTGACTTTCAGGAATTTAGTCCTCATGTGGTGAAGGATAACATGTACAAGAATTTTAACTGCAGTGTTATTTTTAGCAATAAAACCAGGAAACAGCTAGTGCCTGTAGTAGGGAGGTAGTTGAATAAATTACCATACTCTGATAAATTAGAAAACTGTAAACAGCCATTAACCTGAATGCACTGTCCAACCTGTTCTGAGAAATGTCCACAATATATTGTTAAATGGAGGAAGACAATTGCAAAAAGTTACGTTCCATTTTAACAGAAAGAACATGTATTTGAATACATAGAAGGGTAGTCGTGGAATTGTTAACAATAGTTACTTCTGGGAAGTGGGATTGAGGTTTGAGGAATAGACGCTGACCTTTTATAAATATTTACTGATGGGTTTTTTGTTGTTTGTACATTTTAAAATTACCAAGAAGTGCAGAGGGTAGAGCCCAGTGGTACAGCGCGTGCTCAGCACGCTCAAGGTCCTGGGTTGTTCAACGCCTAGTACCTCTACTTAAAAAAAGTTAATCAATAAACCAATTACCTCCCCCTGAAAATAAGATAAATTAAATTAAATTACCAAAAAATGTAAATTTGCTTTATAGACTCAATCCATTTTAATGACTTTAATTACAGGTGTGTTAAGTGACAGGCAAAGAAGTGTGTTAAAAAATGACTATAGGATGCACACCTAGCGCTGCCCCACAGAGCACGGATGTGATGGTGCGCTTCATCTCAGAAACACGCTTTGTACCGAAACAGAACCAGATGTGTTGTGCACTCCCAGCCAGAGGGCTGTGATCGCTGCCGCTCACGGTGCTTCTTGTTGACTCTGCTTCTCTCCTGTGCCCTCACCCAAGGGCAGGTCATCCTGATTTCCCTCCTAGAACGCTGAAACCACCTCAGAACTTGCTTCTCATCCGTTCCACCTCCTGGAACCTGGGTCTGCCCTGCAACCATGATTATCACGTATTCTTAAAAATTCAGATCTCATCATGTTACCCCCTTGCTTAAAATCCAGCTCGTGTTTCTCATCGCTGCATGGTTAAAGGCCACAGTCCTCTGGCTTCATCTTGTTTCATTTCATTGCCCTTCTTTCCACATGAATTTTAGAATCAGCTTGTCAATTTAGTTAAAAACAAAAAAGTCTGCTAGTCTTCTGGAAATTAGATGTGGATTATGTTGAATCTATAGATTAATTTGGGGAGAATTGACTTCTTAACAATATTGAATTTTCAACGCCTGAACAAAATTTATTTCTCCATTTGTATAGGTTGTCCTTGATTTTCTCAGTAACAGTTGAGAGTTTTTAGTGTACGGATCTTTCCATCTTTTATGAGTTTACCCATATTTCTTATTTTTCAATGCAGTTGTAATATATTTTATTTATATTTTTTAAATAATATATTTTACATTTTAATTTCTGACTGTTCGTTCTGACTGTAGAAATCCAGGCGTCTTGTGTGCTGACCCTGTGCCCTGCAGCCTTACTGAACTTGTTTACTAGTCCTGGTGGCCCTTTGGTAGGTTCTCAGGTTTCCTGTGAAACTGCTGGCTGTCCTGCCTGGATTTTTCACTTTCTAACAAAACACATTTTAAAATAAGCATGTTTCACTGCAGGTTCAGCTAAAATGAGAGGAGAAGAGGAGAAATGCTAAGTCACATGAGAGAACCTGGGGGCAGTTAAGAAGAAAAGAAGAGCAGCTGGGCCGGGCGGTGTAGCTGGGGAGCTTGAGTCGTCCCCTGACTCAGGTAAATTAGTCTCTGGGGAAAATTCCACATCTCTAACACTGTTTCATCAATATTATTATTAATATTCCTTGGATTTAATATATATTTTGGGGATTTAAAACAGATTAAAAATGTTATCTCATCCAAAATAGAACTAACATTTATAGCTTAACGTATTAATGTCTTGCAATTCTTGGTATCTAATAGATGCTCTGTGTCTGTTTTCTGAATGGAGGAATGGAAGGTAAGTTGAGCTTATGTCTTGTTACTTATTTAAGTAATTTTTGAACTTCTCAAATGTCCATTCGGTTTAGCAACTCTCTTTCTAAAGGGATTGTACACGTGCACCAAAGCTAAAGCAGTTAATACTCCTAAGACTAACTTTTTGCATGACACAGCGTTGTGTCTCAACAGAGTATTGTCATGTTTCTTTTAAAAGGAGGCCCCCAGGGCAGTGCCTGTCCACCTGGATGTTAACTCTAATCAAACTGTCACAACAGTTGAGCTCATTCCTCATAAGGCAGAGGCAGGGCAGGAACCTAGTTGATGGTGTCAGTCCTGTGCTCTGCGGCGCCCCCCTGCCCTCACTCCCTTTTGCCTGCGTGGACAAACGAGGAGGCCTTTTCCCTGTTGAAAGGGAAAGGTAGTTGCTCAACTTCTTCCAGATCTTTTTCCTTCATTCACTTTTTTCTCTGTACTTAATTTTTCAGCTCCTTGATTGAGAAATTCTTACTCATTTCTTTCCTCTGCAGCAAAGCACATGTATTTAATATCTACAAACTGGCAAATGTAATTTCCTTCATATATTAACTTATTTACAATTGGATAATGAATTGAAGTGGTTTAAATGACTTGATTTTATTATATTTTCATAGTTGTATTTATTTTGAGAACATTTAAAATAAGAATGATACCAAATTTTAACTTAAAAGTATCAATAATCTGAAAATATGCTAACTTTGAAAACGAACGTGTGCGGCAAGTACATTTTTATCCGATTGATCTCAGTGCAACGTTATTTTCCAGCCTGTGATCTCTTTTTTTTCTTTTTCCTAACAGAGGTACTGGGAGTTGAACCCAGGACCTCATGCATGCTAGTGTGCGTGCTCTGCCCCTGAGCTACACCCTCCCCCACTGTGACCTCAAATATAATTTAATGGTAATCCATTATGGTTGAATGAATGAACATACATTTGTATTTGTTGTGCTTTGTATTATCACTGGCTTCACTATATTTCTCTTTCTAAAATGTTCCTTTCAACTTTTCCCTGCTTTAAAGTGGGGGTTGTTTTGAACAACGTGCACTAATTGCAAGGTCAGGGAAGAAAGGCACGTTTCTCCAGGTGTGGTCTGAACGTCTTCCTTGTTGGAGCTGTGGTGGGGAAGGTGGCAAATGACACTTCTTTTCCCTTCCAGAGTTCAGGACGTAGGATTCAGGCAGGTGGAGATCAGCTAAGTGGCTTTATTCCTAACACATCCTAACAAATGGGAGAACAAATGGGAGAACGTGCTTTAGATGGGCAGCCACAGCGGGGGTCCGAATCCTTCATCCCAGTGAGGCAGGTGCTTCCCCAGGCAGGCTGAGGGGAGGGAGCAGGTGCCTGACCACCGCCCGGGGCCCCTGCCAACTGCAGACCTGGGGGCAGACCCAGCTTCACTGGGCTGAGGGCAGACCCAGCTTTTCAAGGAGGAGGTTCAGAACCAGGCAAGCACTTCTTATTAGTTCCCTCTCCCAGATTCACCCAGTAGGTAAACCCTCCTGCCCTCAAGGGGAGGGCAGAGGGAGTGGAAGTCCTCACGTGGAAGCGTGAGGCCAAGGAAATGAAGTTCTCCTGTAAATTCTGACTGAATTTGAATTAGAATTGAGATTTAGCTCTTGATTTTTGTACGTACCAACTAATGGTGAGACATTGGATAGAGGTATGCTAGAGGGTAAAAAGAAACCTGTTTTGTTTTAAGTTTTGCCGTAAGTAACCCATAAAATAACTTAAATTCATTTGTTGACTGATTTTTATAAACCGAGTTTCATTTGAAGGAAACGAATATTCTTTTAAGGAAGAATCTCCTCAATTTCAGCTTTCTTGATTTAACTAAACATTTTCTCATTCAAGTTCCCTGTCCTGTGGGTTAAAAAATTTGTACTTTATCAACTGAGTGTACTGACTGCTACTAACAGGAGTCCTGATGCTGACTTTGCGTCCTTTATTCTTGTCCATGCCTTTAAAATTTGTGTAATTGTGTAATTGGGTTCAAAAAGTACTATTCTGTGTCTCATGCCTCAAACATGATTGAGCTACAAGACAGAGTTTTACATATTCATTTTCTCTGAATTATAAATATTTATGTTTTCCTTAACACGAGGAAGTGGCCGGCCCGGACCCCTGTGCTTTGTGACCGCAGGCGGGCTGTGGTCCCGCCAGGCTGTGTGAGCTCGCCTGTAAAATTAGAGACTTTGACCAAATCAATGACTTTCATACCTTAAATTTTTTTCTCAAAGAAAAGAACCTTTTTTAAAAAATCTAATGAAACTGTATTATGTAAAAGAGACAAGTAGAGCTGTTGAGGTAAAGGGACGACGGAGACTCTGACTGTGAGGCTTCCGTCCCTCGGTCCGGCAGTGTCCCCAGTGGGTCCTCCTGCTTCTATGGGACGCAGTCTGTAAACCTGCCAGTTAGGAGAGAAGCCTCTTAGTTAAAAATCTTTAGAATTAAAACTTGCTAGTACATTGTCTTCCTGTGTGTAATTTCATCACCTTTCTATGTTTCCGTCACATAGAAAAGTTTAAATGAAATTGCCCGTGTGTTCTCCTATAGAGAATGTAGGACTTGAGCTCCTTCCACCACCCGGCACAGCGCCTACCTAGACAGAAATAGACATAAAGGGCACGAGTGCACGTTTAGGGAAAGAGCTTTCTGGGGGGAGTGTAGTGATCTTACATTCAACGCATGTAAAAATGCGATCTGCATTTTGCATAGTGTTTATTAATGGTAATATAAAATTATTTCAACAAAGCCTTCTCCCTTCATCTGTTAGGAGTTATTAATTTCACAAGACCTGTCTAGTGCTGTTGTCACGTTATTCATTGTACAAGGCCTCTCTGTAATGCTGCTGTCAGCAAAGTGTTAGGGAAAACAGTCTCTGAAAATAGTGCGAAATGTTAGCCAAAACATTTGCCTTTGCACCTAAAATTTACAGAGGTCTCGGCTCTTAGACTGTTGTTATCACCACAGTGTTTGTTATGTTCAGTGTACTATTTCAGACCCTGTTTAGTGAGAGGGTACCTTTTATAAGAAAGATTTTTTAAAAGAACACTTTAGGTGGGGACACTTGGAATAAAGTTTGAAATGTTCCCACACATTTCATAATTAAGTAGGTAAGTGTAATTAGTCAAATGTTTCCAAAAGATGGCCCTACTTTCTAGAATGAAAACAGAGTTACAGTTGAACAATGATATATTGTTTTCCATGTTCCTAGCTCTAGAAAGTCGTGAATCCAAAACCAAATTTGAAAACTGGCACTAGCCTCTCTTTTTCCTTTCTTCAAGGAGCTTTTCTGAAATAAATGTTTTAGTCATATACAGAGAACAAAATACATTTCATTAACGTTTTGCCAGTAGAGTTTTCACATGACATTACAACAGAACCATTTTCTTCATTTTATGTATTGAAGATTCTGTGCTTAAAAAATTAGCATAGAACAGACGTTAATATTTTGGTTTTGTAAAAGTACAAGAATAGAAAGCTTATTTTAAGGAAAAATTCATTAAAGTAAAAACTCTGATTAAACTTCTATAAAGGGCAGTTTTTCTAAGAATTGCAAAGTAATGCATTCAGTGTAAAATATAACTTGAATTGTTTAAACTTTTTTGTACCAATAAGATCAAATATCAGCTTCTGAAATTATGTGTATTCAATAGGCCAATATTTATTGTACTTTTCTTCAGATGAATCTAAATAGCATTACATATATATGTTCTCTGTTACCTCAAATCAAAATACGTAGGAATTTATTTTATTTCATTCATGTGACTTTTTTCTATGTAAGTAATCCCTACGTTGTGTCTAGTCTCTAAAAGTATTGTTTAAGGCCACATTTTATAAGCTAGCTGTCATTCCCATGATAATATGTCTTATTTCATTAACACATTATAAATAATATTTGACTTATTTCAGATGCAGCAGGAGTTGGTAAAAAATAATAACTAGAGAACCAGAAGATGGTATGTTGCAAAAATTTATGAATTAAATTCAGACATTGATTTCTGAAATACAGTGTAAGTAGTAAATGACATCTCTTTCCATTGTTTGAATAACAGATATGCTACATTAAATTTTTTTTTGTCCATAGCTAATGAAAAGTGTGTAAGCATAACCAGTCATAATGAAAAATACACTTACTCCTCATTTATTCATTATGATCCATAGCGTTAAAAAAAATCACAAAGAGTCTATGTTCTCTGTTTATTCCTGGCTGTACCCTCCCTCTCCTCCTGCTAGCCCTGTGGGACTGTCACCCTGCACACTGACACTTCTCAGAGAACCTGGAGGTCATCAGCTTCTCGTGTTTCTGGTAGCGACTGAGGCCAAAAACACAGACTCAAGCAATCACAGTCCATGTAGCTGCCACCTACTGGGTGACAATTACATTTCCTCTCATTGACTGTGTAACTGGTTAATCTTTTGCTCTCGGGAAAAATTACAAATTCCTTAGCATGGAGTAAAAAACACATCAGTTTGTTTCTTGCCATAGTATTCAGCCATGTCTTTACTCCCCTGCTCTGCCCCTCTGCTCCCGCGTCTGGCCCAGCTGCACTGCTGCCAGCTCCACACGTGTGCTTATCTGCCTCGGGTCTTTGTGTTTGCTTCTTCCCTCTCCCTCCCACACTTTCTCCTCCTTCAGGTGTCTGCTTACACATCACCGCCACTGAAAGGGGGCAGTATTGACACAAAGCTGGACGTCCCTTCTGAGTGTCCCAGCTGTGCCCTCTTTTATACCTGTCATGGTGTTTATGACTCTGTATGGAAATTGCCTATTTTTCCAGTTGATGGTATATGATTCTTCAGGGTGGACCACGTTATCTTCATCTGGCGATTCCAGTGCTTGTCACAGTACCTTAGCATATGGTTGGTGAGTCAATGAATAAAGAATGAGAAAACCAGGAGCTCTGACGCTCGGCCACATGTGCAGTTAATTCAGTGTACAGCCATGGGCAAAGTCTAGAATCATCATCTTGTATTTTATGTTATAGTCGTATATAGATACTTTTTATTCTTCTTAAAGCTTAGAAAGGTCTCAGTTTTTTAAAAAAACCCATTTATATTTAGCTACGAAGTATTTTAGGTAAAGAATCTCATTCTCTCTTTTTTTTTTTTCCAGCTGCTGCTGAACTTGAACCTGGATCCTATGGAGCTTCTCCTCTAGGATGTAGAGCAGCGCGTGGAGAAGCCACTTTGGGCGGCTTTTTGTGGGGTCCTGGGGCCTCTCTCAGCCTCTGGGCACCTCTGTTGAAAACCCTTCCTAGCTGTGTGGCCTGCTGGAAATCCACTCCACCTGCTTTGCCCTGAAGATGTGTTCTGTTTATAACTCACTTCTACTCCTTGGAAAATAATTCATTGAAAACCCAATTGGTTTTCCACCAGCTCTGGGCAGGGATGAGGGCTAGCATATTATTATTTTATTAAAAATATAAATAATAAAAGAAATGTAATAGAAAAGAACAAATTTGACTCTGTATTAGGGCTGTTCCTTTACCTTTAATAAAACCACTGTGCTCTGTTTTCTAGGCTTGTCTTGTTAGCTCTGGGCTCACATAAAGATAACAAGTTGCAAAATAGACAGTAACCTTTGTTGGAGGTTTTGCAGGAGCACCATGATCTGACCCACATGCACAGCTGCAAGAACAAAAGATTCCAAGAAGGAATTCCTGCTTTGCAGCAAACAAGCTTACTCCGTCCCCTTTTTAGTGTAAAAGTGGCCTGAATTCTGACTTGGGGGAGATGGTTTTTCAGGACATTAGACTGCCACCTTTTTGGTCTGCGGGCTTTCCAAATAAAGTTGCTATTCCTTGTCTTAATACCTAGTCTTCCGATTTATTGGCCTGCTGTGCAGTAAGGAGTTTGGACTTGGTAACACCCCTACCTACCTAGCAAGCTGGGTCCTGGAACCAAGCACAGCTGTCCCACCCCCAGGGGCCTACTGTGAGTCCTTGGTGGGCCCCCCAGGGTGGGGAGCAGTTTACCCAGGAGGGGTCGAGACTAGGCACCAACACTCAGGCAGTCTGCTCCCAGCTGGGGCTCTGACCATCTACCTCCTGCACATCCCCTCCCCCACTCCCAGGGCCCTGCAAGTGAGGCCAAGACCCTGCCTGCCTCAGTTTCCCAGTCTGAAAGGGGAACATGCTCTCCCTAAGGTAATTCTGGGCATTGGCGACAAGGCCTGCAAGCGCTCGGTCCCCAGAGCCACACCAAGCCCAGCTCGGTACAGGGGCAAAGGGCGTGCTGCGGGCAGGGGTTCCGCAGGGGCCTTGGTGGGAGGGCTCCCCTAGGTGAAATCCGAGCTGCGTGCCTTGAGGGGTTAGAGGGGCGTGGAGGCGGGGCTGGCAGCCCCTGGAATAAAGCGTTTTTCCTCTGTCTCTGCCACTCCCCTCCCCGCTTCTCCCTCCAGATCTCTCCCTTCTCCCTTCAGCCCACTGCTTCCATCTCTCTCCCAGGGCCAGCTGGGTCCCGCAGAGAGGGTCTGGGGACCCACATCTGGGGCAGAGTTTGGGGCTAGGACTGGTCTCCGAGCGGGGCTGGAGCCCAGGCCCCGGTCCTCTTTCCCTGCCCTGCGATCCCAAGACTGGCCTCCTCTCCCTTTTCCTCCTCAGTTTCTTTTGGATTAAAAGTGCGCGAGATCCCGCGGCAGTGTTGGGCCCTGTTTCCCTGGGGTGAAGATGGCTTTTCCCCCGCCTGATACATGGAATTTGGATTTGAGGATCTTTCAGGTTTGGTCTGGGCTCCAAGGAATCTATTCATGGTCCCTGTGGGAGCAGTGGGGTCTGGGATGATGGTAGTGGATGGAGAGCAAGGGGTTGTGGGAAGTTACATTTGGGAGCTTCTAAGTTCTGCAGAAGCTTTTCTCTGGGTGGTAGGTTTGGTCCAGGGTAGGACTGTTCATGAGCCCAGGTTCCAAGCCCCTAACAGATGCACCGTTGATCAATCGGATTGCATTCACACGACACAAATTATTAAGATTTCAGAGACAGCGAGGGCAAAATATTAAACCCCAAGTGCTGGGCCCTTCTGAGCAATGGGCTCTGTCTGACTGCGCTGGTCATGTGCCCGTGAAGCTGGCCATGTCTCCACTCTGTCCACGCCCACCCCAAGCCCATGAGCTACCAAGGCTCTCCCCACAGCTCTGCCCCAGCTCCGGATGGTTGTGTCTGGTTGAGCAAAGGATCTCAAATCTGGGGGACAGCCCTGCCTTAAAATATGCCTTTCCTTTCTCAAGCCATGATGTGCACTGATCTAGGTGAGGGAGGAGGGAAAGATGGGATGAGGGACACAGTACTGGTACCCACACAACCCCTTGGAACAGGAGGGCCCTGCCATGGCCCCATTTCTGCTTTTCCTGGATGAGCTTGAAACAGGTGCTAGGGCTGGCCAGGAGCATCCAGAAGCCCTGTGTGGGGAGAGCAGTCTTAGCACGGCTCCCTGAAACTCATCCCCCAACCCAGAGAAGTCCCCCAAGTCCTTACCATCCCATCTGGGACAGGGACAAAGCTCAGAAACTCATCCACGTGGCCCACAGTCAACCAGTCCACAAAGAGCTCCACAGGGGGCTGCACCTTCTTGGGGAAGTCCCCAACCACCTGGATGGCCCTGCGACCCCTTGACCTGGGGCCCCAGGGGTTAAAAAAACAGTTGCTTAACTAAAAAAATCTGTGCAGAAATGGAATGACAAGAGTCTAAGATTTCTGCAATATCTGCCAAAAAACATGCATCACTTTTGTAATCAGAAAAGATAATTATATATATATTGCTTTTAAATTACATTCAAGGTGAGTTCTCAACGAGGCAGACACAGGACAGACAGGTCAGTCACACCAGGCCAGTGATGCCCCCAGGTCTCGCCATCCAGGCAAGTCCTCAGAAGTACCCTCAGACCCCATCCTCACACTTTCCAAGACGCTTCTCACTCCATATTCGGTCAATGGCTGGGCAATTCTTCCTTGAGTTTAGCTTACATCTCTGGCTGCAGCTTCACCTTCCTGCACCTCAGTGGGGAGAGAGGGCGACCTTGTCTCACAGCCCTGGCATTTTATGTTCATGAATTTAAACCCCATTCTTTCACCCTCTGAAAAGGTATCTGAAGGCATGACCCTTACATCCCCTTTCTGTGAGATCACGTGTTTGTGACCAGTTAGCCCCCTCCAAAACTTCCTGATTCACCTGTTACTGGATCACAAGTGTGTTTTAACTGCTTTGCTGAATTTGATTGACTCTGTGTTCTGGTCTGTTCCATGGCAAATAATCATTAACGTGTAACTCCTTTCCTTCCCCATCAGTACCCCTGTGCCTCATGTTGAACAAGACATCGTCTGTGACTTACTCTCTTTGTGTTCCTGCCATTTCACTTTTCATGTCTTCTGCCTCCCTTCTGCTCTCAGGAAAAGAGCTGATGTTAGTCATTTACATCATAGTGTGAACAAGCATTGATTTGAATGCAGTTTCTCCCAGGACTGCTGAGACTTAAAAGCTTTTTCTTCTATAACTATTTATCAATAGTAACATCTATTTATTTTCTGAATCGAAAGACCTACATCTAGTCATAACTTTGCATCCTTTATGACCTTTATCAGGTCACTTACTGTCTCTGGGCCCACTTGTAAAATGAAAGGATTGGAATGAGTGATGTCTCAGGTCTGTGCTCGCTCTGGTCTTCTCAGACTCCGCGAGGTATGTGTGGACAGTGTCTGGAGAACAGCTCACTCCTCCCGTCACCACCACATCCAGGACTACAGCTTGGCCACTCCTTTCTGGTTCTCTTCCAGCAGTAGAATGGCCCCTCCCACGGCCACCTTCAACCTCCACCCCAGGAACACCTCTCCTTGCTCCTCTCTCACCCAGACAGGTTGCCCCCAGTGAGGGTCCTCCCCAGGGGGCACTCCCCATTGGCCACCTCCGGGGGACTGACCTCCAGGTTCCCAAAGAGAGTCCAGGCAACTAATTCACAGAGTTGTCCCGTGGCTCCAGAGTGATGTAGCCGAAATCTGGACCCTGGTAGGGGAAACCGAGTCAGGCTGAGGGGTGGGAAGGGCTCACCAGGGAGAGCTTGAACTAACTTGCTGGGCTCTGAGCTTCTTAAAGATGGGGGTGGGAGTGGCCACCCATTCTTCAGATGGAAACATTGAGTCAGAGATGGGGCTCTGACCTAGCTGATATTTCACGCATGCTCAGAGATGCAAGCTTGCCAAAGTTGGGAAATACACAGCCCGCATGTGGTTCCCCATTGTCACTGGGAAACAGCCGAGGGGGCCCTGGCTGCTCCTACATGCCCATTAGACAAGGAGCCCGGGGCCACGCCCCCCCCCCTTACCCTCTGCACGGCCTTCCTGCCAAGTTCAGCCCAAGCGTGGGTATCTGGCCGCTCGACAGTGGCCTGTTCTTGGGGACCAACAGGCTGCTGATGGCCCTTGGAGCCTCAGTTTTTCAACTCTGGAAAAGGAGACAACTCCCCAAGGCCATGTCTTAGCAGGAATTTAGACAATATTGAAAGCCAGAGCCGGGGGAGACCTCCTCCCACTCCGTGACCCATTGAGGGCTTAGAGAGGCCGTCCGCTCTCTGCAGCACCAAGGGCATCTCCCTCTTTCCTCGGGGCGGGGGGAGTCAATTAAGTCACCCTCTTTATTTTATTACCGATAATAACAACAGCGAACTGTGCTATATGCTTCTTCTGTGTAGGCATGGAGAAGCCTCACAAACACCTGGGAGGCCAGGCTAATGTGTCATTATGACTGATGAGAAAGGAAACTGAGGCTCAGAGAGGGGAAGTTACTCGTGCAAGATCACACAGCATGTGAGTGACAGAGCCACACCGTTCCGACTCCAAAGCCTCGGTTGTAAACAGCTATACTGTCCCACCTTCCCGGCTAAGGCTGCCAGATTTAGTAAACAAAGATACAGGAGATGCCCAGTTCAATTTGAATTTCAGATAAACAACAAGTATATTTTTAGCATAAGTACATCCCATTCAATGTATGGGACATACTTTTCCTAAAAAGTTACTCATTGCTTAGCTGAAATTCAAATTGAACTGGCCATCTCCTGTATTTTACCTGACAACTCTACTCCTGTCCCTAAAGAAAACAGTTCCCAGACTGGCCATCATGGTAATGTCCCTCAGCCCTCAGGGCTAGGCTGTGGCCAGGACCACTCACCAGGATTCTTTTGCAAGGGAAACCCTGCAGTTTTCCATTCCTGGCGGAGTCAGAGACCACAGGGATAGTCTTATGCGGTGCCTGAAGGTAACCCAGATCCATCCCATCCTGCAAACACGAGGGACACTCAGATGTGGACAGTCGACTGCTTTCCCTCTTGCCTGGCACTCAGCAATTTGAGGGAGACGTTTCTTGGGAGTCCTCTGCCTCAGGCCTGCTCTGCCCTTGCAGGGTGAGGACAGCAGGGGCCATGATACCTGCTGGTTGGAGGAGGGGCTGGGGGCTCAGAGAGGGGGCCCACTTGCCCAGGGTCACACAGCAAGACAGATCAGGAATGAATAAGAACTTGGCCTTGGGCCTGTGCCTGTGCTAGGACCAGGACGGGGTGAATGCAGTGTGGTTCGATAGTTCCGTGTGCCCTGAGTCACACACACAGGCTTCTGCGCACCAGCCAGCACATCTGGCCTCCCCACGAGGTCATGAGGGCTTGACAGCTGGACGGGACTGAAGGGCCTGAGGAGGTACAGATCTGCCTCCTTTTCAAACATGTAAACACACCCAGCTCAATCCTGAGCCCTCAGGTTCTGGAGGCAAAGATGACCCAGCGCTGATGAACTCGGTTGCCAACAAGAAGCTCACTGTTTTGCACCTGTTC